GGCCATCTGATCTGCCTCTCCCGGGAAGAGAGCAATGATGGTGCCAACTTGGACCAGTGAAGCAACATTCTCCACAAACTAGACTGAAGAACAAAAAGGACAGCAACTTGTCTGTTCCCCTTCCCCCAACTCCCCAGCACTGTTGCCATCCCCCAATTCTCCAATTAAAATAAATAAATAAATAAATATACTTTAACTTTTTTATGTTTTAAATGTATTCCCTCATTATTTAATGCTTTACATTAAAATGAAAAACAAATCACACAGTATGTTAGATATGTTAACTGTATTTTGATATAACTGATTTCCTTTGTCATCCTATACATTTTATTTTATGCCCTTCAAGTTATTTTGAGAATGGGCCCATCAACTTTTTAAGACCAAAGGTGTCCAAGGCACAACACATGTGTAGAACCCCTATTAAGGTGGAAAGACACTCAGCTTTAGAATGAAAGAGACCTGGGTTTAAATGCTCATTTGCTACTTCTTAGCTCTGTGACCTTGAGCACATCACTTAACCTTCATTCATCTTCCATACTTTGAAATTCGGTGTCTATTGAGCACCTACTACCAGACACTTGCCTTACAGCTATCTCCATGTCCGCCAGGCCTCCCTCCCCCTGCCCCACCCCCCTGCACTAACCCCTGACCTAATGAGATCTTGAGGGAGTGTCTTGGAATGCTGAGACCCAGTGGAATGCTATTGGTAAAGCTTCCTCTAGGGAGTGTCTCGGAATGCTGAGACCGGGTGGAATGATATCGGTCATCTCCCTTAATTGTATAGGATGCCACACGATAACGCTGTCCTGGGGGCTGTGCAGGCTATATGGAGGCATAGTACATGTTGGAATACAATGGGAGCTGGTTAATGGAAAACAGCCTTAAGGCACGTAGCACATGGATCTTTGAGTAATCCAGTTTCTCATCCTTTGATTTTTTCTCAATAAAAGCCATAGGAGGACCCAATTTGGGGCTCAGTCTTACAGGCTGTGTCCCTTGGTCTCATTCCTATCTGACTTTTGTCTCATGAGTACTTATTTAATCTGCGTCACCCCTCTCGTGTCCCATTTGCCCTTGCCACGCTGGACGTGACAGACACTGTATTAAAGATTTAATACAGGCACACAGACATAACTTTTCCTGTACACAGTTTACAACTGAGTGGGGGAATTAGATGAGTGAACAAGTCATTACAGAATACTGTGGTAAGTGCTTTGATAGTGGAGGGACAGAGTGCTCAGGGGTAGGACTCAGAGTTGTGGGGTCAACTGGAGTTCTGGAAAATTTTCCAGATATAAGGACACTAAACTGAGAGATCAGGGATAAGTAGACATTAGCCAAGCAAAGAAGGGGGAGGAGTGATCCAGGCAGGGGAATGAACCCTTAAGAGATGGCATTGTTGAGAAACTGAGAGAAAATTAGGGTAGGGAGAAGGAAGGGACCAGCAACACAAGACACTGCTGCAGAAGGGGTCAGACTGGAGGGTCTTATAGCCATCTTTTTTTTTTTTTAAGATTTTTTATTGGGGAATAGGGAAAGGGGAACAGTGTTGGAGGATTGGGGAAGGGGAACAGCCAAGTTGTTGTCCTTCAATCTTAGTTGTAGAGGGCACAGCTAGCTCACCTCCAACTCCAGTTGCCATCCAGCCACCCAATGGCAGCTTGCAGCAGCTCAGCTCAAGGTGCCGTGTTCAATCTTAGTTGCGGGTGGGCATAGCCCATCATCCCATGCAGGAGTCAAACCAGCACCTCGTTGTTAGAAACATGTGCTCTCACCAGCTGAGCCATTTTGCCACCTGTTGGCAGCTCAGTGGCATCTCAGCTCAGGTGCAGCTCACTGGCCATTGTGGGAATTGAACTGGTGACCCTGTTGCTCAGAGCTCTCACTGTTAACCAACTGAGCCACTCATCTGGCTCTCGTAGCCATCTTAACAACATACCCTTCATCCTAAGGGAAGTGGGAAACTATCAATAGGTGTTAATCATTCATGGGTTGTTACGGGTCTGAATAAAAAGATTTTAAAAATCACTTTGGTTTTACGGAGAATACACTAGAGGGATCATGACCGGAGACAGGCACAATGATTTGGAGATTATTGGCGAAGATCTGGTGAGAGACCGTGAGTGCATGGGTAGTGGCAGTGGGATGGAGAAGAATGTATAGATTTGAGAAATAGTTAGGAGGTAAACTCAGTGAAGTGTATATTGGAAAATGAAGGAGATGGCTCCTCCTCAGATTTCTTTTTGGATCAACAGAAAGAATGGTGGGGTCATCATTGGGAAAAAGAGTACGCTTATAGGAGAACATAAGGTCAGATTTGAATTTGGGGTGTGAAGTCACTGAGGATGTTCTGCCGACTTTTGGCCTGAAAATTAGAAGAGTTTCGGATGTGAAGCCATGTGTGTCCATATGGTAAGATGCCAAAGATGATATTCTTTTTTTTCCTCGATCTTCGCTCAACGTCTGTTGAGGATGTTACCACATGCTGGATGTTGGGAATATACCGGTGAACATGAAGACTGGGTTTCTGCCCTCAACGAGTTTACCATCTACCTCTTTAAACTTGTTCTTTATCTGTAAAATGAAGACAACAATGAGACTGAGATGAACTGATGTGACGCGGCACCTGGACGTTTTAATTTTATATTTGCTTTTCGACCCCAGAGCTGGAAGAGAAAAGTACTTTTTACTTTTGTTTTCATCCTTTCCAGGGTGGCTCTTTCGCGCAGGCGCCTTGGACCGCCCGGATTGGGGGGGTGGGGCGGGCCAGAACCCGAGAGGTCTTCCCCGGGGTCAGGACCTGGATGGGCGGAGGGAGTCGGCTCCGCGTGACGTCATCAACCTGCGCTGCCCGTAGGGCGGGACCGGAGTGCGACAGCGCGGCCGGCGCACTCGGGCTGGCTTGGGAAACGAAACTGAGGGAGGAGCCGGCGCCTCTGGCAGCGGTAGGGCCAGGCCTGGTGGCGGCGGCAGCGGCGGCGGCAGCGGCGGCCTGACCCCCCCCTTTTCCGCTCCCTGGCAGCTTGCCCTCTCCCCTCAGTGTGAGTGCCGACGCGCGGCCCGGGGGGAACGAGCGGGCGGGCGCGCGGGCTCACCATCCTCCCCTCCACCGCCGCCTCGGCCCCCCACCTTAGCCGCCTCCCTGCCCCTTCTCTCTCCCTTCCTCCCTTCCCCCACCCCGCCTCTCCAGCTCCCCGGAGCCCGAGCTGCCGCTGACATAACGTCTCTGCGCATACATTCACACGCTCACGTTATCTTCATCTGAAAAGATCGGTCCAGGGAGATGGGAGCTCATCTCTCCCCTCTGTGAATAAGGGTGGCAGCGCGAAACCGAGGCCCAGGGAGACAGTACTGGAGAGGGGATTTGAACCCCTTCCCTGGGGAAGCCGCCGGTAGAACCAGGCCTTCTTCTGCCTTCTACTGAGAAGTTCCCCGCCAGAGCACGTTCTTGTGGCCTGTGTCGGTCACTTGAGCTGGGCACCAGTTAGCTGGGCGGCCTTCCCTTCTAGGGCCTCAGTTTTTTCCAGTGGAAAATGAGAGAGGGTTGGAATCGATGATTTGGAAGGCTCGGTCTAAGGTGGTTTGGAGAGGAGCAGCAGCATCCTTCTGCCTTTCACACAACTATGCCTTTTCTTGCACCCACCCCAACGCTGCCCATACTGAGTTTCCTGGAGGCTTCCAAACACCCCCCCACAGTCGCCAGGAACCAGAGGGGCCTTTTTGCTCTTGTTATGGACCTTTGGCGGTGGAGGGTGGAGGGCGGAGTAAGACGGGGGTTTAAAGTGAAATGTGGCCCAGCTTGGTCTTGCTTTCTGTTTGTTCAATTACTTCTGTTCCTACTGCCCCAGGAAGCCCCTGCCTGTGCCTAGTAAGAGGCTGCCTCCTTAGGAAGGTTGAGATTATGCATTGGGCTGACCGGCGCATCCTTGAGCTGGAGAGAAGTGAAATCTGTGATTCAGGGTTTTGTGAGGTTGGCGGGATCAGTGGTATCTTTGGATTTTATTCCTCACTTGTTGCTGTGACCCATACTATAAGCCTCTTCGTGCCCCGAACCTCCCCTTCCCCAAGGATTGCAGCCCAGCCTGCCACCCACCTGTTTGCTCTTGTGCTTTGAGTCCTTTCTCAGAACGAGTCTTTTATAGCCAATCAGTTGTGTATAAACCACACTGTATCACTACTACTCTTGCTTGCTCTTTAACTTGACCATTTCTTAAGATTTCAGGATCTCATAATTATTTGTTCCATCTCATTTTTTTTCTCATGCTTACCTCTCACGTACCTACCCGTGGGCATGGATGGTGGTGACATTGTGCCTGCCTGCTTCCATTCTTTTTTTTTTTTTGTGGAGGTGTGTTCCTGGTCTTAAAATTATTGTTTTTGTACCTAAGTCCTTTGCTGTGGTTACCTCTGGTCCCAGTAACTGTCTCACTATTCTGCTTCCTGAGTCCTAAGTCAACCGCTGCTTCCATTCCTTACTCTGGTTAAAAACTTTCCCAGTTCTGTGTTTTCAAACATCCTGAAGTAAACAAAAACCAGTATTTGTATCATATTAGGTAATCTCTTAATTGTCCTGGTAAAATAATAACAGTGATGGAACAATCATTCTGGGATGGTCCCCCTTCACCTTGGAAATACTGGTTAATACTTATCAGGTTTCAGAATAAATTTCCAGTGTACATTGTCATGCATGGCCAATGTTGCATCAAAAGTATGGGATAACAAGTACCCAAGGCCATTTTCCCCTTGTGGCTTGTGGAGTTGGTCCACGACTTTTTGGTTTCTGACACCAATGGCTCAGAGGCATCTGGGTCTGTGAGTACCGCATTTTCCAGCAAAACTAACAGCTATTTTTGAAAACCAGAGCTTGGCTAGCATCCCTACTGGACCTCATTTTGAGGAAGAGGCTATTCAAGTGCTGGCACTAGAAGTTGTTTGGAGTTGCCAAAACCCATTCCACTTATGATTTATGCTTTGGAATCCCTGCGCTGATCCTAATGGCTCTGACATGGGCAGCTGATTGACTGGGTTTATGGTTGGTTACAGTAACAATGAAGAGGAGAAATGATCCAGAATGCACTGCCCCTATCAAGAAACAGAAGAAAAGAGTTGCAGAGCTTGCCCTGAGCCTCAGCTCTACATCCGACGATGAACCTCCCTCCTCTATTAATCATGCAGCAAAAGGTATGCATGCCTGTGTGGTCTGAGGCCACTGGTCATCTGGTTATTTGAATCCCTGGAACTTGAATTGGGCAGAATACAGCCCACTGCCCCTTGAGGAAAATTAGGCAAATTCTACAGAGATATGTTAGCTGTAGACTCTCTTCCCTTCTGCCATTCTCCTAATAGGAGTAGGGAACTTGTTTTAAATAAAAACTGTAATTTTTACAGAAATGCCTTAGTTCTGTTGCTGGTCCTTCAGTAGGTGGCACTCTTTGGCTGCCATTAAGCAGGTGGAAGTACAGGCATACTTTGGAGATACTGCGAGTTTGGTTCCAGACAACTGCAATAAAGTGAGTCATAATAATTTTGCTGGTGGAGGGTCTTGTCTTCAATTTGTGAAAAACAAACAAACAAAAAAATCCCAGCCACATTTGTGAAGTGAAATAAAGTGCAATGAAACAAGGTTTGCCTGTAGTGGTGAGCATTGTGTGTCCTGCGCTCTTACTAGTTTTTAATGACCCTGAGGCTCTTTGCTGCACTGATCTGGCCTGATTGCCCTCAGGTTTTGCATTCTGTTTTCTCAGTTCCCTCAGCACTTGTGATCAAAAACACCCAAATCAATGGGAACATCCCTGTATTCACTGTTTACATTAAGCTCCAAGGACTTCACTGACCTGGTTGGAAGTGGCATTTTGCTTTGCTTGAGTTTTAGGGTTCTTCGCAGTTTCCACAAATGCTTTCTGTGAGAAATGGTAAAGTGTCTAGGAGCTTGCCTCAAGTGCCAGGCAATCAGAAGTAGTAGCTCCATTTGCGTTTACCTTGATTTGTCAGTTGTACTAATTTCCTAGGGCTGCTGTAACAAATTGCCACAAACTGGGTGGGTTAAAACAACAGAAATGTATTCTCCTCAGTTCTGGAGGCCATAAGTCTGAAATCAAGGTGTCAGCAGGGACAGGCTCCCTCCTAAGGCTCTTGGGAAGAATCCTTTTTTGCCTCTTCTAGCTTCTGGTGGTTGCTGGCCGTTCCTTGGCTTACAGCAGCCTCATTCTTGTCTTTGCCTCTGTGGGTTTCTGTGTTCAAATTTCCTCTTATAACGATGTCGGTCATTGGATTGGGACACACCGTAATATAGTATGACCTCATCTTAATTTGATTACATCTGCAATTTCCAGATGTCGCGTTCCCAAGTGCTGGGTGATATGACCTTTTGGGGGATACTTTTTAACCCAGTACGCCAGATATCCTGCATTTTGGATCATCTGCCAGATCACTGGTAAATTGGAATGAAATTTGGTTACAGATTGGTAACTGAATGGGTGTAAAGCATCCTTTGAGGGTGGTAGAAAATATAGTTTATTCACAAGTGGTAGGCTAATTGAAGGGCAGTTACTCATTAGCTGTACTGAGAAGCTGGTCCAGAGAGGAGAAGCTTGGCAGATGGTACAGCTAATAAAGCATTTGTTGCAGCTTTGGTCCTGGCTGGATAAGAAACTGTCTTATAACCTTGTGTGTGGCGATATGTATGCCTTTAAAGTTGTCACAGTGAATTCCAGGGTAGGTGAGAAAGGCTATATGTAAGTAAGGTTACTAAGTGGGAGGGTAAAAACATATTGGGTGCATTTTTTCTAGGGACTGTTGAGGAAAGGGAGTTTTGGTTTTCACCTGGGATTTGAGCAGCTTGGGAAAGTAGAGAGTCTCTTCGGTAGGGCTCTGGGGTATTAGGAGAGGGACCTACCAGGTAAAAAGGGAGAGCATGTCTGGGGAGATAAGTGACACTCAGGTGGTGGCGGTATCTAGTTCCAAGTGAATCTTGGGGAACATTTGCTCTCAAATGTCATCTTGAAGTAAAGAGAGGACAACTCCTAGGTAGATGAAGGTGTGTGTGTGTGTGTGTGTGTGTGTGTGTGTGTGTGGTTAAGGACCTTGGACCTTTCAAGGGAACCAGTCTGATTTAAATTTCAAGCTTTTAAAAAATGATTGTGAGTTGAAATTACCTCCCTCCCCCTCACAGACTCCCTTTAATTGTACCAAATAGCTTTAACCTTTTCTGGAAATAGCACCATATGACTCAGGATCGACTTGCTGTTGTGTGTACAGAATGGAAATCTAGAGGTGGCCAGTACCTTGTATGCATCTGGCAGTAGGCCATTTGGTCCCTTTCATTTGCAGAGAATGAGGCAGGAGGCAGAGGCAAATAAACATTGCTAGATTTCCCTGGGTCAACTTATTTTAGGAAGGAGCAGCTCCACATTAACCAAAAACTCTGAAGACGAGAGTCTGTGTTTTCACCAACAAGGTTGCTTCCTGTGACCTCCTGCCTTCCAAGCTCATGCATGGCATGGAGTAAATTTGCTCAGTAAATATTTACTGAATAGAGTTTATAGGAGGCAACAGTAGTATCTTTCCCAAGAAGCTTAAAATGCTTCACTTCTTTCATTTTGCCTATCCCTCTTCCAGTCTACAGAAGGTCATTTCATTAAGCACGCAGCAGTTTTACCGTCTTTGTTCTGTACTGGCTCCTCTCAGGCATCCCCTGGACAGTGTGCCCCGGTAGTTTATAGTCTTGCCAGAAACGGCATATCCCCTGGGATCTCTATGCCACTTTCCTATTCAAGTCATGGCATTAAAGCAGGTGTGTTTCCTTTTGTTCCAACCACTTTTACCTGGACACACTGTTCAAGTGGATGATTGAAAAATGCTCTTTAGGGAATACAATTAGAAAAACAAAACAAAAAAAACAGTGGTTACTATTTCTGTCTGGGCCTTGTTTGTGCTTCCTCTGCTAAATCAATTCAATGACTCAATAGATCAATTTAGTTTAATCCATTTGTTTATTTTATATTATTGACAAGGTAGCTGCATTGCCAGGTCAGAGACCGACATCTGACCAGAGTAAAGAAGAAAAGGAATGTTGTTGTCATGGCCACTGTAGCATCATGTGATTACTTTTGAATGTTTTAAGGGGAGTTTGAAGGCATTTTCAAGCCTACATAAACTCTTGGAAATTTGCTATTAAGTAACAGCCTTTTGAAGTAAGGAAAGACAGATGAAGGTCATTTTGTTCTTTTTGGTGTTTCTCACAGGGAAACTAGTAGAGATCCCTAGACAATTTATTTCCCTTTCCCCTGAGCTGTGCGGTCCCCGTTGGGCTCCTGGCCCTCCCACCGCGTGTTGCTTTGGAAGTTGCCAGGGTCCTTCACTGGCACCACTAAACTGCCTTACCCTCTACCAGGTTTCATTCTTCCCTAAATAGGCTATTTTCCCTGAAACACCATTGCTTTCCTGTCAGCCCAGATTCATGACCTTAATCAAAAACTTCCTTTATCGGTATCTGTTTAAATTGCTCTAACGAGTTACCATTTGTCTGGCATGAGGGAGAAATTGAGTCTTTAAATAGGAATGAGTGTATTCCACAACAATTGTTAGGCAGGATCGGATGTTTATTAAAATCCATAATTTATTCTCTGTGTCTTTGTGCTGCTCACCTTGGTCACTAGTAGTTGGATCTGCCCCCCTTGTGTGCTGTCGCTGTCATTTCTAATCTTGGCATGTTTGTCCTACTGTTCTGTTGCCATGTGAAAAATTTTGTCAGTAGCTGGAAAACCTCAGATTCTTCTATAAAGTGAACCTTTCTTCTTTAAAATGACTTAAGGGTAATGACCTCTATCAAGTAGAGAAGAAACCTTAAGTGAAAGCTCTAGTCTTTTGGGCTCTCTGGTAGGTTTTAGAAGGGGAGCTTCTGGGGAGGTAAATGGGAATGCCACCCAGCTTTGGCAACTTCTTAATGAAACTAATGTTTTAATAGACTGACCTTATCACTCTGTTAATTTATATCCTCATTACAACAGCTCCTCTTTAGTTTCTGCTACAGCCACAACAGTTGTTGCCTTTTTATCTGAAAAGAGTGTCCCCAAAGGCCCAGGGGTAAAAATGAGTAGAGGCTGTGGTATTCTGTGGGCATCAGGACTGATATGGGGAGCTCTGTCCTAAATCATGTCAGGCTAAGAATCGGCTTCAAATACCATGTGAAATAAAAGAGAAGTAAGGCCAGTCTGTTTATCAAGCATACTTCTTGATCTCATGAAGACATGCCTAGTAGGATGGTATTTGATTTTCCGTCTACCTCAGTCTCAGAACCTGGATAGGACAGCTGCACATTAGGTAAGAGGGAAGAGGAATGGAGTGGAAAGATATTTGTGTCAGAGCCTGGTGTTGGAGTTGCACCAGAGTCACCACTGATTTGCCTGATGAACCTTCCACCCAAATTTGGTTCTTTCTGTCATTGTGGTCCAAAAATGTTATGAAGACAAAGAAAACAAATAAAATCTCTGGGATCTGAGGGTGGCAGGAGCCCTACATTCTCAGGAATGATACTCATACTGTCGAGGGGTGCCCATTAATGGGTCTTCAAGCAAACCTGACTGCCTGGCAACTCCCAGAGCTGGACCAAATGCATATGCTCCATTGAGGAGGATACCAGGTTTCCCCAACCTTTTCATAGACAGACCTGTAAATCCCCAGATAGCTGGTGAAAGGAATCCTAACTGATTTAACATGATAGCTTCTGGTTAATCAGGACCCTGGATCTCTGGGCTGCCCTGAAGGAAACTTTAAGATCCCTGGATCCCTGGAAACGTTAGGGCCGTGTTCAGGGAGCTGCCTGCGCTCCTGGCATCACCTCTTTGTGCACTGGGCAGTACAGGTTGAAGGCATGGAAGCAACTGCGCAGAGAACATGCCCCATTGGAGGGTGGTTCTTTAGCATGTGGGCACTCTGTGGGCAGAGCACCTCTCTCTGCTTGGCATGGGAGGTAGGAGATGAAAGGCCCGGGTGTAGCCTTCACCTCCCAGGAGGTCTTTCCCTCAGATCTGCTGTCCTCTGAAGGTTTCTCTGGAAAGGAACCAAACTCTTCCCAAGGCTTAGAATGGTACTTCATTTATTTATAGCTTTATTCTTTTTTTTACCCTTATTTTCAAACTAATATATTTTTATTCCTCACATAGAAAATGCAGAAAAGTGCAAAACAGAAAATAAATATCACTTTACCTCCGTTTCCATGGTTACTCATTGTTAACGTCCTGGGTCTCTCCCTTGGAGCGGCACTTTAGCACTGTGACGTGTGCTGCATTGGTCTGGTCCATGGAAACAAGTCAGCTCCCTCCTTGTTCAGCGAACTGGACAGCCACCTTGAGGGAAGGGCAGATCAGGGGCCTCTCATACACGGGCATGCTCAGCCCAGGTCCTCCTTGCTAACTGCTTAGGAGCCAGGTATTTCAATTTTAAGTTTATTCTAATTTTTTCACACATGTTCACCAGCCTTTTCTCTCTTTTGCAAAATGTTATATCCTTAAAGAGATGCATATTTACCTTAGCTATTAGGTTTTTGAGCCCTCTAAGGGTAGGATTGTTACTTTTGGATAGTACCCCATTGCATATAGCATGGACTTTTTATAGAACAGGCCCTGAACCAAAGTTGTTGTCTGATCTAATAATATTGACAGATCTGACAGATGCCTTATTTCAGCTTACTGGGCTGGGGGGCGGAGCCTGCTAAATAATAGTCTATGGAGGGCCCAGTTTTCTTTTAGGATATAGGTATAATATTCCATCCTCATACTTAAACTTTTTGTTGTTGTTTTACCTTTAAAAATAAATTCGTTTTAGAGATTTTATTTTTTTAGAGCAGTTTAAGTCAAGGTTCACAGGAAAATTGAGAGGAAAGTACAAAGGTATCTCCTATACCCCCTGCCCCCACACATGCTTAGCCTCCCCCATTATCAACATAACCTCACCAGAGTGGTACATTGTTACAACTGATGAACCTACATTGACACATGATTATCACCCAGAGTCCATAGTTTACATTAGGGTTCACTCTTGGTATTGTATGCCCTATGGGTTTCAACAAATGTATGATGACACGTATCCTCATACTTCTGAGGTGTGAACCTCTTGCGCTACTGTATAAGGTGTTGTAAGAAGTAATAGCTTACGGGGCTGTACCCTTAGTTGGTGCTTAGCAAAGATGACAACCGGCTGAGAGTCCTTTAAATTCACTAGAGTGAGCACTTAATTTCTGTTAAGTGGAAAGCCTCAGTCCAGGTGTGGGAGATAGAAAGTTGACTGTGTGACACAGTTCCCGATCTCCAGGAGTGACCCTGTCCAGTGGAGTGGCATGTGACAGTAACTGGCTTTCAGGCAATGTGATGAGTGCTGTGCTGAGGTGTGAACACTGACGCTGCTGGAGCACAGGGAGGGGAGAATCAGACCTGGGTGCCAGGGAAGGCTTCGCTCGTC